AGCTGAAGTCGGACGCTTAACCGACTGAGCCACCTAGGTGCCCCTGTATATATTTTTTAGTAGAGACTTCGTCTTTAAAAGCAAAATGAACAGAAGGTACAGAGAGTTCCAAAATATCCTCTCCTTCCACCTGCCTCCCCCACCGCCGACATACATTTGTTACAATCGGTAAACCCACACTGACACGTCATTATCACCCAAAGTCCACAGTTTCCATGGGTGTTCACTCTTAGTGTCGTACAGTCCATGGATTTAGACAAATGTATAAGGACATGTAATCATGGTGTCACACAGACTTGTTTCATTGCCCTAAAAATCATCTGTGCTCCACTCACTCATCCCTCCCCCCGCCCCCCAACCCCTGGCAACCCCTGGTCCTTTTATCATCTCCATAGTTATCCTTTTCTGGGATGTCCTATAGCTGGGATCACTCAGTCGTCACCTTTCAGACTGGCTTCTTTCACTTAGTAATACGTATGCTTTTAAGGTTCCTCCATGTTTTTTCGTGGCTTCGTAGCTCATTTCTTTTCAGCACTGAATGATATGCTATCTGGGTGTACTGAGTTTGTTTATCTGTTTACTTACTGAAGGGCATCTCAGTTGCTTCCAAGTTTTGGCAATTATGAATAAAGCTGCCATAAATGACCACATGTGGGTTTTGTGTGGACATAAGTTTTTGACTCCTTTGGGTAAATACCAAGGAGCGAGACTGCTGGATCGTTTAGCTTTGTAAGGAACTGCCAGACTGTCTTCTAAGGTGGCTGTGCCATTTTGCATTCCCTCCAACGACCAAGGGAGTTCCCATTGCTCCGCATCCTCACCAGCATTTGGTGCTGTCAGTCTTTTAGATTTTGTCCATTTTAGTAGGTGTATATTGCAGAATCTTATTGTTTTAAGTTGCAATTCCTTAAGACATCTGATGTCGAACATCTTTTCATATGTTTATTTGCCTTCTCTATATCTTCTTGATGATGAAGTGTTGTTCAGGTGTTTGGCCCATTTTTAAACCAGGTTGTTCATTTTCTTCTTCTTTTGTTTTTAATGTTCATTTTTGACAGGGAGAGAGAGCACAAGCGGCGGAGGGGCAGAGAGAGAAGGAGACACAGAATGTGAAGCAGGTTCCAGGCTCTGAGCTGTCAGCACAGAGCCCGATGCGGGGCTCAAACTCACGAACCGTGAGACCATGACCTGAGCCGAAGTCAGACCCCCAACCAAGTGAGCCACCCAGGCACCCTGTTCGTTTCCTTATTGTTAAATTTTAAGAGTTCTTTGTATAGTTTGGAGATGTTTATCAGATATGTATTTCACAAATATTTTCTCCCAGCCTATGGCTGGTCTTCTCAGCTCTCTTGACATTGCCTTTCATAAAGCAGAAATTTTAATGTCAATGAAACCCAGCTTATCAATTCTTTCTTTCATGGATTGTCACTTTGGTATTGTATTGAAAAACCACCACACCCAAGATCATCTAGATTTGCTCCTATGTTATTTTCTGGGAGTTTTATGGTTTTACATTTTACACTTAGGTCAACGATCCATTTTAAGTTAGTTTTTTATTAACGGTGTCAAGTCCGTGCCTAGATTCATTTTTTGCATGTGGACGTCTGGTCGTCTCAGCACCACTTGTTGCAAAGTATCTTGGCTCCACCGTATTGCCTCTGCTCCTTTGTCAGAGATCGGCTGACAGATTTGGATGGGTTTGTTTCTGAGCTACTCTATTCTGTTCCACTGAATTATTTGCCAGTAGCACAGGTCTTGATTACTGTAGCTTTACAGTAAGCCTTGAACTCAGGTAGTGTGAGTCATCCAACTTTTTTCTTCTCCTTTAAAAATGTGTTACCTATTCTGGGTCTTTTGCCTCTCTGTGTAAACTTTAGAATCAGTTTGTCGATATTGACAAAATAACTTGCTGGCCTTTTGACTGGGACTGTGTTAAATCTATAGATCACGTTGGGAGGAACTGGTATCTTGACAGTATTGAACCTTCTTACCTATAAAGGTGAAGCATCTGTTTATTTAATTCTTTGATCCATCATCAGATTTTTATATTTTTCCTCATATACATCTTGTGCATGTTTTGTTAGATTTGTAAGCATTTCTTTTTTGAGGGTGCTGATGAAAATGGTATTGTTGTGTTTTCAATCTCAAATTCCACTTGTTTATTGCTAGTACATAGGAAATGAACTTGTTTATAGGGGACTTGTATTCTGTAACGTTGCTAGAATGGCTTACCAGTCTAGGAGTTTTTTGTTGATACTTTGAGATTTTCTACATAGATGATCATGTCATGTGCCAACAAAGTTTTATTTCTTTCTTCCCCATCTGTATTTAGGCATTCCCCACTTTTCTAAGCTTCATATTAGGTCACTCTCCTTTTCAATGAATGGAAAGACCTGCATTAGTACCTGTTTTTGCTAACTGAAAGAAAATGGCAGAGGATTTTCACTTTTATGAAAAAAAGCAAGAAGTGACAATCGTGTTCAGCGTCTGTTGTGCAGTGAGCCATTCTGGAGGCAGCGAGACTGGCCCTGCCAAGCTCCTTCCCTGGGAACTACATTCAGCATCTCAGCGTCAAGCCGCCATAGCTTTGAACCGTGTCTTTGCACATCAGTGCTTTACCTCTTTTTCATGCATCTATTAGCAAGAGGTGTCCTAAAGTATCGGAAAAGCCCAGGAGAGATTATTTTTCACATCTGGGAACACAAAGAAAATTTTCCATATAAATTAATGGTAATTGCTCCTTTGCTTTACACTATTTTGGCTTATGAAAGGTTTTATAGGGACATTCTACTCTGATAGCAGGGGAAACCTGTACCTCTATTTCCTTTTCTTGTCTTATTGCATTAGCTGGGACTCCCAGTAAGATGTTGGAAATGAATGGTGAGAAGACATCCTTGCTTTATTCCTGATCTTAGCAAGAAGGCTTCAAGTGTAAGTTAGCAGTAGGGTTTTTGTAGATGTCCTTTTATCAAGTTCAGGAAGTCCTCCTCTATTCCTAGTTTATTGAGAGCTTTTACTATGAATTTGTGTTAGATTTTTATCAAGTGCTTTTTCTGCATCTATTGATATAATCATGTGATTTTTCCTCTTTAGCTTGTTGATGTGTTGGATTACACTAATTGATTTTCAAATGTTGAAACAGCCTTGCGTACCTGGGAAAAATCCCATGTGGTCATGATCTATAATTCTTCTTATACATTGTTCAATTTGCTAATATTTTGTTGAGGATTTTTACATCTGTGTCCATGACAAATACCGGTCTGTGGTAGTCTTTTCTTCTAATGTCTTTGCCTGGTTTTGGAATTGAGTTAATGCTGGTCTTACAGAATGAGTTAGTATTCCCTGTTGGGACGCCTGGGTGGCTCGGTTGGTTAAGTATCCAACTTCGGCTCAGGTCATGATCTCACACTTTGTGAGTTTGAGCCCCACGTTGGGCTCTGTGCTGACAGCTTGGAGCCTGGAGCCTGCTTCAGATTCTGTGTCTCCCTCTCTCTCTATCCCTCCCCTGCTCATGCTCTGTCTCTCAAAAATAATAAACATTTAAAAAAATTTAAAAAAAGAAAAAAAAAAGAAAGTATTCCCTGTTTCTATCAACTGGAAGAGATTGTAGAGAATTGGTAAAATTTTTTTCCTTAAATGTTTGGTAGAATTTTCCAGTACACCCATCTGGGTCTGCTGCTTTCTGTTTTACAGGTTATTAATTGTTGATTCAATTTCCTTAATAGATAGGCCTATTTAGATTGTTTATTTGTGGCATATATTTTTATTTTTTTATTACTTAAAAATTTTTTTTAATGTTTAGTTTTGAGAGAGAGAGAGAGTGCTCATGAAAGTGAGCTGCATATATTTTAAAAATATATATTTCTCAGAGAGAGGGGGCTGGATTCATGGAAGTTAATGTCTACAGGCTATGACTCTTCTGGAAATAAAGTGTTGGTACTCAGGGATGGCTGAGCAGGCTACAGACCAGTGAGGGGACAGCATCTCTGGGATTCTGCTATGCATGCATGTGTGTGTGTCCTCTCGCCAGGTTCCTGGAAACTGGGAGGCTGCCTGCGTCTCCCCAGCTCATCTCCCCCTCTGTCTCTGCTACCCTCAGCTTTCTGGGAAACACAATCTCGCCCGAGAACCAGTAGTTTCACAGCACCTGCAGGAGATTCTCCGCGGCAGAACACGGGCCAACAAAACATGGATACTCAAGAACATGGCTCCCTGTGGGGCATCCGAGTCTTGGGTGGGCTTCTTCCTTACTTCTTCGCACCTGCTTTCCCTCTGCCCGGAACCCTCTACCACCAGATCTCTGTGCAGCTTCCCATCGCTCAGGAAGAGCCTGGTTCAAGTGACACTTTCCCCGGGAGCCTCCCCTGTCCCCCTCCTATCTGCCACCACCCCTACTTCAGCCTCCCTCTCATATCATTGTCTGTGTTCCTCTTGCACATGTCAGTATCTCCACATCCAATCCGTGAGCCCGTCTGCCTGTCTCTGTCAAATGTCAGCTCCATGAGGCAGGGCCTGGCCTTATCCTTGGAGAGCCTAGACCTGGGCCTGACCCAGAACGGGTGCTCGGTCAGTGTTTGGGTATGTAGGGATGATTCCTCACTTCTGACAGGCCTGATACAGCCCAGCCCTGCTGGGCCTGGCGTCAGCAGAATGCACCTGGACGGGAGAGGGAGGGCGGGGGGGTGGGGGTGTCCTTCCTTGAAGCCTCCCTCTGATTTGCAGGCTGCTCCAAGGGAGGGGACCAGCCCCATGTGGCTCCACCCACCTGACCTCTTCCCACCCCCCAGCCCCTCTGCCCAAAAGGACATGCCCTCTCCCCAGAATCAGGCTTCCTGTGGAACTTTCCAGAAAACTAAAGCTAGGGCAGGGCCAGGGCCCTGGATGGGGAAGGTGGGGGGCTGCCATAGCCCAATTCCCAGTGGCATCCCAGGGTCCCAGGATGACAGCCAAGGCCAGAAGCTTCCCCTGCCCCGCCCGGTTGGCCCCAGCAGGAGACCTACATGCGGATCTGGGTGTTTTTCAGGGTGCAGTTCAGATCCTCCAGGGTCTCCTCCATCTCCTGCGTGTTCTGGATGAGCGACAGGTTCTGCTCCTCTAGCTTCGTGAAGATGTCCAGGAGCTGCTGGGGCTCCGTGAAGTATAGGTCCAGCTCCTGCAACCAGAGCCATGCGTGTGGGCTGGCCGGTCGGTGCAGGGGGACCGGATTCCGCAGCCCCACCTGGAGCGTGGCCACTGACCTCCCCGTCGCTGCCTGAGTCCTCAGTCATAGTGGTGGAAGAGTCTGACCTGCAGAGAGATGCAGGGTCAGGACAGCAGTGACCTGGTGCACAGAGATGGTGGTCATCTTCTCCCGCCCCAGCGGTGAAGCCGTCTGGAGTCACCAGGGCACCTCCCTGCTATGTCCTTGTCCCCTCCTTCACCCCGCCAGCTGACCAGGCAGGGGCACTAGCCCTCCTCTTGGCCCCACAATGGTCACTGAGCAGTCAGGGGACTGTTTCAAATTCAGTTAGTTCATGTCACTTCAGACAGAATAAAACTCAGCCCCCTCCCTGGAACCTGCTGCCCAGGGCCCCTGCTGCCCCCCTCGCCTCCTTCTCCTCCTGAAGTTCCCCTGCTCCTGCCTTACCCGCCCTCTTTCTGTCTCTCCGGGTGCTGACCTACCTCAGGGCCTTTGCACCCACTGCCACTGCTAGGGTTGCCCCTCATTGACCATTCTTCTTCTTTTTTTAATGTTTATTTATTTATTATTTTTTAAAATTTTATTTTATTCTTTTTTTACGTTTTTTCATTTCTGAGACAGAGACAGAGCATGAAGGGGGGAAGGTCAAAGAGAGAGGGAGACACAAAATCTGAAACAGGCTCCAGGCTCTGAACTGTCAGCCCAGAGCCTGACGCAGGGCTCAAACTCATGGACCACGAGATCATGACCTGAGCTGAAGTTGGATGCCCAACCCACTGAGCCACCCAGGCGCCCCTTTAATGTTTATTTTTGAGAGAGAGAGAGAGAGCGAGCAGAGTAGGGACAGAGATAGAGACACAGAATCCAGCCTCTGAGCTGTCAGCACAGAGCCTGACGCAGGGCTCACACTCATGAGCTGTGAAATCATGACCTGAGCCGAGGTCGGATGCTTAACCGACTGAACCACCCAGGCACCCCTACCTTCGAGGAGCCACCTTCAGGGCCTTTTCTGCCCACCTCCCCTATCTAGATATGGCCTTGGCACTTGCCCTTGATGGTCCCACTGGGCTATCCTGTGACACTCGCAGCACCTTTGATGGACCCTGAGCACCCCACAGGGGCGGGGGCTCTCCCAGACCCTCGGGGGTACTGGAAAAATCGTGGGCCTTGAGCACTCAGCGTGGGCCTTCGAAGGCCCTGCTGGATGGGACCCAACCTCAAATGACTTCCAAACCTGCTCTCATCGCCCCGCCTGGCCTGCTTCGGCCTGGGCCCCTGCCCTCAACGCGCAGGTTCTGCTGGCTGAGAAGCAGGTGGGGCAGGCTTCTAGCCCGAGGAGCCTGGGCTCCTCCCCTAGGAACCTGGGCTGAGGCTCATGTGACTCCAGGCTCTGACCCACCTGACATGGGGAGGTGATAAGTGCAGGGCTCTGTGGGAGCCCTGAGGGGGAACCCTGGAGGACTTCTCAGAGGAAGGGCCACAGGAACAACCAAATCACTCACCAGGCCTGTACCTCACACCAAACACATTGATGTCCCTCTGGCAAATGAGGAACATGGGGCTTTGAGAACTAGCCACCTGCCGCATGTCACCTGCAGGGCACTGCTGGCCCATAAGGTGCCTGAGAATCTGCCTCCAGATGGATGTAGTCTGGGGAGTAGGCTGGACTTTAGCTCCCACTTGCCCTCTCAGCTGAGTGCCTTCTGCAGCCCACAACCTGCTCAACTGTACTCAGTGACCCTGGTCACACGGCTAATAGATGGAGGGACCCAGAATAGTGTGATCCTAGACCTCTAGTCTGAGGGACTGCCCCAACATGGGGCCTGGATGGTGGGAGCTCCAGGGCTGAGGGCAGTCCCGGTAGAGGAATCATGCAGAGCTAAACCCCCCGGAGCCTCTGTTCAACACCGAACTGTAAACAACAGCTCCCACTGGCTGGGGTTGCAGGGATAAAAGTGAACCCGAGGCATGTGCCTGGCCCACTAACGGTGGCCAGTCTTCTTCACAAGGCAGGACCGTGACACATCAAGATGAAAGTGAGCTTGGAAACTGGTAGCACTCAGGTCCCCTTCCTGCCTGAGAAGCATCAGCTGGGGGACATGGGAGGTTGCGTAGGGAGAACAAACATGTAAGGGGGGGTCATCCGCATAGGGGCGTGGCCCTCAGGAGCAGGTAGGGGACGGAAGCATGGGAGAGGGTTGCCAGGCTGTCGTAGAGGAGGAAGGACAGAGGCTGGTACACCTAAGGGATGAGAGAAGATACAAAGGAGAGGGGTGGGGAGGCTGAGCCCCTGGGGCCACCTCCATACTGTTTTCCAGAGTGGCTGCACCAGTTTGCATTCCCACCAGCCGTGCAAAAGGGTTCCTTTTTCTCCGCATCCTCGCCAACATGTGTTGTTGCCCAAGTTGTTCATGTTAGCCATTCTGACAGGTGTGAGGTGGTATTGCATTTAAAAACTACCATTTCTGGGAATGCAGTATGGAGGTTCCTCAAAAAATGAAAAATAGAACTACCCTACGACCCAGCAATGGCACTTCTAGGTATTTATCCACGGGGTACAGGTGTGCTGTTTTGAAGGGGCACATGCACCCCAATGTTTACAGCAGCACTATCAACAAGAGCCAAAGTATGGAAAGAGCCCAAATGCCCATCGGCGGATGAATGGATAAAGAAGATGTGGTTATACAGATACAATGGAGTATTACTCGGCAATCAAAAAGAATGAAATCTCGCCATCTGCAACTACGTGGATGGAACTGGAGGGTATTAGGCTAAGCGAAATTAGAGAAAGACAAAAATCATAGGACTTCACTCATATGAGGACTTTGAGAGACAAAACAGATGAACATAAGGGAAAGGAAGCAAAAATAATATAAAAACAGGGAAGGAGACAAAACATAAGAGACTCATAAATACGGAGAACAAACTGAGGGTTACTGGAGGGGGTGTGGGAGGAGGGATGGACTAAATGGGTAAGGGGCACTAAGGGATCTACTCCTGAAATCATTGTTGCACCATATGCTAACTAATTTGGATGTAAATTAAAATAAAATAAAATAAAATAAAAAAACTACCATTTCAGTGGCCTCATCTCCTGATCTGTTTGTCGAGACAGTCTCTTTTATTTTTTAAACGTTTATTTATTTTGAGAGAGAGAGGCCGAGAGAGAGCACAGGGGAGAGGCAGAGAAAGAGGGAGACAGAGAATCCCAAGCAGTTTCCGCACGGTAGGTGCGGACTCAATCCCAGGACTGTGAGATCACGACCTAAGTCCAGATCACGAGTCGGATGCTCAACCGACTGAACCACCCAGGCATCCCAAGACACTCTATTATGAAATAACCATGCCAGAATACTGAGAATGGAAGGGACCTACGATAGCCAGATCTGAACAGGACGTGGCAGGGCAGCCGGAACTCTCTTGCCTGTTGGCTGGAGCGTATAATGTAGCAGCCATGGCAGGTCTTTGGCAGAAGCCGCTAAAGCTAAGCATCTACTCGCCTCGTGAACCAGCACTCCCACTCTTGTTTCCAACAAAAATACTCATGCAAAGAGTGCTCCAACATAAAAGTACTGGAATGTTTGCAGCAGCTCTAATCAAAATAGCCAAGAATTGGGAACAACCCAAAAGGCCACCAATCGTAGAGGACCTGGAGAGTGGGGCTTCGTGCGGTGGGGCACTAGGCGGCGACCGCCAACAACGCCTGCTTCTGCGCACGATCACGCAGGCATGCAGCAGAGACGAGCCAGGCCCAGAGAGCATTTTATGTAAAAACCCAGACTCTGGCTTCTCTTAAAAGGCCCTGACGCTCCCTGCACCCACCTGCCTGCCTGCATCCGTTTATATTTGACTGTCTCGTTTTAGCAACCAAGTGGGCCATCCCAGACAGAAGGTTACCAAATCGGACAGAAATAAAACGGTTTAGAAAACACCTCGATCTTGGGGCTTGAGTCAGACTATACACCCTTCAAGCTGGGAACAGCCCCCTCGTCACGGTCTCACCCTTCCCGGAGAGGCTGGGCTTGTCCTAGGCACCCCTGGCCTGGAGCCACTTGGGAGCAGTCCCCAGCGGGCCCCAGCCACTACCCCAGCCTCCTTGCCCTACCCCAGACCCACTCACCCTTTGGCGTTCAGCCCGCTATACACACTGGCCTGGCTTCTATGCTGGAGGTTCAGGGTGTTGGACGGGATCTGCCCCAGCTGCGCCACCTGCAGGAACTTCCAGAACTTCTTTGGGCCCTGCCCCTCTGGAGGAAACAGAGGGATGGTTTTCACATGCCCCAGCCCGGGGCAGGGCCCCTCCAGCTTGCGCCAGCCACGTACCTCTGGAGCCTGTCTTGCCCTTGGTCCCTGGTCCTACAGGAAACAAGGGAGGGGTTTCGGATGGCTTCCACTGGAGCAAGGCCTTCAGCAATACTGCTTGAGGGCACAGGGCTCCCTGGGGCCCTCCCAACAGTTTCAGAAAGGGCCCCCACAGTTTCAGGGCCCCCACACAGTTTTAGGGCCCACGCAGTTTCAGAAAGACCTAAAAGGGAGGAAAGCCCCTTGGGTCTGAGTTAGAGATGGCCCTGTCTTCCCTGAGGGAATGTGTGGGCCCTAAGGGGCAGCTGCTGCCCCTGGCTGGGGCTTTACAGGCGCTGAAGGGGCCCAGCCTGTGGCCTGGACACCTCCAAGGCCACTGCCAGCAGGGCACAGGGTCTGGGTGAACCCAGGGAACTACCTTCTTTCCTGTTACCTTTGTCCCAGATCGTGGAGTGTAAAGTGTTCTCTATGGGGGGCTCAGTGACCTCCTTGGCTTTTTTGAGAGCCAAACGCTTCTCCTTCCTCTCTTCCAACCACTCCTTGGGCGACAGCTTGTACAGGAAGTCCTTGTAGGCCTTGTAATGCTGCAAAGTGTCTTCAAATTTGGAGATCTCGCTGGATTGGGGAGGGGGAGGGGAGGTCAGCTTCCTCCTCGTGAGGAGACCCCTCCGGAGGGAACTGCCTCTGCAGCCTGGGTAAGCCCAGAGTGCTCCTGGCTCTCCTGGGGACAGGTGTGCCTGGGAGAGGACACCGGCCTGCTGGGGACCGACGTGGGTCACACCTCCACAGGTATAACCCTCTGTGACTTTGGACTTGCAGCTGACCCTGGGGACCCTGGTCTCCAAGTGAGCCTGCCTCCTGGTGCTGTGGCCTTGGAAAGTCACTGGATCTCTCTTGGACCCTGTCACCTCCTCTGTAAAATGTGCAGCTGTGTCCCGCAGGGCTTTGAGTCCCTGAACCACTTAGGTTTGAGAGGCAAAGCCACGAGGTCTGCCCTGCGTGGGGGCTTCTTTTGGCTGGGGGCGAATGACAGAGGGAAGTGGCGGCAGGCCAACCTCAGTGGCTTGCCCTCCGCGCTCACCTTTTGATGTTCATGATCTGGGTGGTCAGGTCCCGGATTTCCAAGATCTTCTCCACCTTTGCTTTGGTCTCCTTCTCAGCCCTGGAGGTGGGGATGGGGATGGGAGCAGGGGGCCAGTCGCAAAACTGTTAAAGGGGGCATATACACCGCCCTGGGGCTGGGCGGTGGGTGGGGGGAGCTGCCAGGGTCAGGTGGTGGGGGGAGGGGATGGGGGACAGGCGGGCTGCAGGCTAGCGTGGGCGCAGGTGCTCAGGCCCCACGAGCACTGGGGGGCCCTCCGTGTGGGCTCACGCTTTCAGGGCCTGCACCGAGCTCCGATCATTCTCCCGGAGGAACTCCTCGAACAGGGCGGCGTCATTCTCCAGGGACCTTTCTGCCCGCTCCAGCTCTGCCTCCTCCTTGGTCACCAGCAGCTCCAGCCGCTGGATCTCCTGCTGCTTCATGTCCAGGGCGTACTGAGGGCCACCAGAGTGGGAGTCACACCCCTCACTGGGACAGACCCCGCCTGGGCCCCCCCCCCCCGCCCCCACAGCACAGCTGGGCCAACCTGGATGCGGAACATCTGGCGCTTCTGGTTGATGTAGTTGTTCAGGTTATCACATTCCATCTTCTTTTCTGCAAGAAGAGAGGAGAGTGGAGCAGGGTGAGGGGAGAGAAGACCCAGACCCGGCGGGAATCCAGGCACTGCTCTGCTGGGAGGCCCAGGTTGTTACGGGGACTCTGGGAGACTGGGCTCCGTCTCTAGCAACAGGAGAGGAGGCTCTGTGGATATATCACACTCTCCACTGCTGGAGATGGTCCCAGGGCCAGGTGGGAAGTCCTTTCCTGAGTCTGGCCTGAGACTCTCCTGCCGTAGTACTCTTTTCACCTGGAGTGAGACTCTGGACAGCCCTGCCCAGGAAGTTTCACCCAGTTGCACTAATAATGAAAGACCTATTGGGCCAGGAACTGCAAAGGGATGGGGAGAGAAAAACAGGGCAGCATGATCTCTATTTGGGGTGCTCTAAGTCCCCAGGATCCAGTTTAGATAGTAGCTACGATGAGGGAGCATAAGGCAAGCTGATAGGCATAAACCAACCCCCCCCCCCCCGGCCAAGTGACCCAAGAACAAAGGAAGGGGAAAAACAAATGGTTAACTTCAGTAGAGCATCACAGTCCTTCAGGACCCCCTGGTCTGCCAGCCTCCTGGCGATGTGGGAAAGAAAGGCAGAAGGAAATGGCAGAACTAAATTTCCTTATAACCTGCCGCCCATTGACAGATACTTGAGGCGGGCAGAGTAAGTTTCTCCAGGAGCTGTCTTACTGCTACTGCTTTGCTAGAGGTAAAAACAACCTTAGCTTGACACTAGCTAGGCCTCCAGTATCCTGTGAGTCTTCTTTAGCTCATGAAAATCTCACTGGAAACTTCCGCTGGCCTCTACCTCCCCCAGTGTCTCCTCATGGTCCCCGGGCAGCTCTTCCTGCCCACAGGTCCTGTCCCCGTGCTTCAAGAAAATCACCCTTTTGCACCAAAGACGTCTTCAAGAATTCTTTCTTGGTCTTTGGTTCCGGGCCGCATGGGCCCCACTATCACCCCAAAAACCCTCATCAGCTAGGTCTACACACCAGGCGGGAAGCCAGTGGGAGAAAGTTAAGGTGGGCCCCTGTAAGACCTTCTGGAGCAAAAGCAGAGGGCAAAGGGCCACGGGATCCTCTTTCCCTGGTCTTTCTGGAGAGGAAAGCCCAGAGACATCCTGACTTTGGAGAGACCAGGAGCCAAGGAAAGGACAGCAGAGCCATGTGACTCTCTGCCTCATCTCTTAAACCCTCTCCGTTCCAGAAGACCCTAGTGTGGTGTAGGAGTGGTGTTTCAAGCCTAGAAGCCTGGCAGAGACCCAGCTGGGCCTCTGCCTCCCTGGCCCATCTTGTGGGAAGGCCCTTCCCTCAAGGAGACCCAGGTCCTCACTGCAAGTCAAATCTGGGATACCGACAGGTCTGGTGCCTAAACCTGCTGGGTCCAGTCTTCCCACTGAGACCAGCTTCCTCTCCCAGATCTTGGAATGGAGGGTAGAGACCAAAAGGAAAAAAGTGCAGTTCTGTGTCTCTTCATGCAGAGCTCGGCACACATAATGTCAAAGTGAGCTCAGGGGCTTTGTTCCCCCATATAACAAGCCACGGGGTCAGGGGGTAGAGGCTGGGGGGTCTCAGATTAATATTCACATTCAGTACACCAGTTGGGTTCCAGGACTCTATCATCTGGGCTGGTAGAGTATTAATGCTGGGTCATAAAATTAATAACAGCTCTCTCTCTCTCTCTCTCTCTCACACACACACACACACACACACACACAGGACTTCCGTGTAGCATCTAAAGACGCTGAATCCCACAACCCACGAGGTCGCCACTGTCATCAGACCGGAGAGGAAACTGCCGTGCAGAGGAGGTGAACACCTGGCCCAGGATGGCGAGGGCATTCAGTGCTGAAGCTGACATCTGAACCCAGGGAACCTGGTTCCAGACTGATGCTCTTTCCCTCCACCATATTAAGGGACTATATTTTATATGGGCGCAATCTGCCTTCACGTGCACGGGAACCTTCCGAATGCAAGCAACGTTGGGATTCAAAGGCTTTTAGATTGGCAGTCCGGCTGGAATCCATCCCTGTGATGGAGGGAGGCGGGGTCAGACACAGAAACGACCCTCCTTCCCCACTGCATCGGAGCCCTGCCTCTCCGAGCACGTGAACAGCACTGCGCGCGCCCCGAGGTCAAGACCCGACGCTGGGGAAGGGGGCCACCTTTGGTCATGGAGAGCTTCCACGCCATATCGTCGTGGAAGGCGCGCAGCCGCTCCGCCTCGGCGCGCACCTCCTGGTCCTGCATCTCGTCCTCCAGCTGCAGCTCGCGACGCAGGCTGGTGTGCTTGGCCAACACTTTGGACGCGTAGGTCATCTTTTGGTGCATCCGCAGCGTCTTCTTCTGCTCCCGCTCCTGTTGGGCGGGGTCGGCCGGGGTCGGACGGGGCCGGCCACCACTTCCACCCCCTCCCCCACCGCACCTGGGACCAGCGTCCTCCCATCGGCGGCGACGCCTTGTCCCTGGGTCGCACAGCCTTGAGGGGACGCGCATGCGGCGCGGGGAGGTGAAGGGGGAATTGCCCGGGGGGCGCACTTGGGTCAGGGTGGGGGTGCACTTGGCGGGGCTGAGCATTGCTGCGCGCAGAGGGGGCTGCGGAGCTGTGTGCCGGGGAAAACGCTCCTGGGGGCTCTGAGCACAGCTCCCGGGGTGAGAGGGCAGTGGGGCTGAGAGCAGGGGTTAAGGGCGAGGTGGGGGTGGGGTTGCCAGATTAAGTACAGGATGCCGAGCCAGGTTTGCATTCCGGGTCAGTAGTGCAGGGACATACTAAGCGATGGTTCCTCCTGAAATTCATTCACACTATTCTCATATTCTCAAATTGTGATTTGCTAAATCGGACACACCGAAGGTTCCGGGAAGCTAGATCTTGTGAGTCTCCAAAAGAAACTCGAAATTCCGAGTTTGGTCTGCAAGCTCGGTAGTCAGAGCTGGCGGCGGCGGGCAGGTCGCCGGGGATCTGCTCCTCTCCACCCAGCCTGGCCTCCAACCTGCCCCAGCGTTGCTCCCGTCCCTGAGCCCTCAACTTGGGGGGACCCCAGGATGGCGTGGGGATGGGGGCTTTTCTTCCCTGAGGACTAGTGCAGGCCAAAGGCCCCCTCAGGGGAGCCCAGCCCTTCCTGCAGCCCAAGCCCTGGGGGTTCTCCACATCCTTCCATGGCCCAGGCACCTCAGCCTGCAGGATCAGACAGGCCTGCACAAATCCTCTTCTCTTCATCTGTCCTTTCCCCAGGGCTGCCAGGTGCAGCAATGAATGCTGCTTAGAAAGCTGCTTAGGGAAACCACATCTGTGGCAGGACCCAGCCCGAGGCCCCTAGATTGGACCTCCGTGTAGCAAAGCTGGGGAAATATCACCTAGATTCCCAGTGGCAGAGGGTCTGCACTTAGAAGAAACTGGGCAGCTGCTTGGGGTCAATGTGACATTGGGGGGGCTCTGCTGGGGTGCGGGATTGAGGGGGGAGGGCTGTGCTGGGGGGGGGGACGGGTGCCATGTTTGGGGGGTTTAGGAAGAAGGCAGAAGCGACCGTGGAAGCAGGGCCAGGCTGGGAAGAGATAATCCTGCCCTGGAGGAAGGTCTCTAAGTCCGTCAGAGAAAGTTGTGTGTGTTTCTGCTGTATTTGCCCACTTGGAGGCCTCGCAGAAGTGTGTGCTGCTCGGTGTGGCTTTGTGGGAGTGTCTCCTTCCAGGGCATGAGTGGGTGCACAGCATGGCAGCAGGATGGGGAAAACACTGATGGTGGCCCCCACAGAGCTTCTAGGCAGTTGGTGGGGCAGGGAGGTCTGAGTAGGGGCTGGAAAACGTGCATTTCCTTTTGTGTCTTCGGTTGGGGTCTCGGCCGGAGCCAGTTCTCCGAGGAATCTCAGATACTGAGCCATGAGTTGAAGTAGACAGAGTCAGCCCGGGAGGGCTGGTCATAGGCATGTGCCTGAGACCATGTCCCAGAAACCTGGCCCATGCTGAGCACTTCTCAGTGAAGATGCCCGCTGGTGAGTCCTCCCTGAGCCTGGCTGCAGTGACGCTTGCTCGCTCCAGCCATGCCACGGCAGGTGGGAGTGGGCAAGTGGGCTCTTGGGTGGGGAGGCAAGACAGACTATGCTGGGGTGCAGACAAGGCGCGGGCCGGTGGAGGGGGGTCCGGGGCTAGCTCAGGGACTCCCAGGTGCTGCTGAGGGCCATGCATATGTGTACGTGTGTGTGCGCACGCGCACACACGCACAGGTGCATGTTTGTGTGTGGATTTGGCCTCCAAGAATTCCCACGAGAGGGATTGTGCAAGGCTGGAGCAGTTGGAGGGGCGGGTCTCCTGGGAGAGGCGAGAGGGGGCCTGAGGTCTGAGAAGGGCCTTGAAGGACAGGGAGTGTCAGGAGGGTGGCATCTCATGCAAGGGACAGCAGAAAGACCTGGTGGCTGAAGCACGGTGGCCACAGCAGCTTCCAACAGCCCACTCTGACAAGGCCCAGGAAGAGTGGCGATGAAGCTGGGTAAGACAGTGGGACAGGTCAGAGATTGGATCGTCAGGGTTTCGAGTTGATTTTTTAAAAATAGTGAGGGGCACCTGGGTGGCTCAGTCGGTTAAGCATCCAACTTCAGCTCAGGTCATGATATCACGGCTCATGGGTTCGAGCCCCGTGTGGGGCTCTGTGCTGACAACCCGGAGCCTGGAGACTGCTTGGGATTCTGTGTCTCCCTCTCTCTCTGCCCCTCCCTCACTCTCTCTCTCTCTCTCTCTCTCAAGTATCAATAAACATTTTTTAAAAATAGTGAACCATTGACTATTCTAGAGTGAGAGAGTGACCTGAAGAAAGTACTCTTCTGAGAAGAGCAATCTGGGTCTGCGTGCATGAAGGAGGGAAGAGTTGCAGGCAGGCCTCAGTCCTGGATACTCACTAGGCGAGACTTATTCCGCTCCTGATCTCTGAGCAAGAAGAAATCCACGTCTCCAGACATGTGGAAAGGATTAGCCACATGGTCAGGAACAATCGCGGGCACTGGGGAGGGAGATATCTCATTGGAGAGACGAGCCAGCTCTTCCAAACAGGTGGTCTGTGCCTCTGGAGTCCTGGTGCCCTCCCAACCCAGCATGAGGAGCTTCCTTGTAAGCGTGAGCAGGTGTTGAATGTTCTCTTGGATCCAGCTGTGCCTGAAATCCAACCCTGGACCTTCTGACTGCAGAAACTCACCTGTCAGGTTTAACCTAGGTGGGCTTGGGCTTCTGTCCCTGACATCTGAAAGAGGCCTGGTAAACACAGCTCCCACCCCCCGCCCCCGGTCTCAGACATGTGGCCCTCTGTCCCCTCTCATTTAAAGTCCCAGGAACCCCCATTCTGCAGAGGGGAGAAGCAGGAGTGGGGAAGTGATGGGGCCAGATGGTCGGGGAGGCCTGGTGACTCCAGAGCAGAGGCACCTGCCTGCGGAGGGCAGTGAGTGCTGTAGGGCAATGCCCTGTCCGCAGGATTCTCCACAAGCCCCCCAGAGGGAGGCTGAGTTTGGGGGCGAGTGACGGCAAAACACCTGAGGCCAGGGGAGGCAGGGCAGGACTTTGAGAGATGGGAGCTGCCAAGGACCCTAATTTTGCTGCTCCTCCCACCCCTTTGGGTAAGGGTTAGGTTCCCACTGCTCAGCTCAGCAGGGATCAGGGAGGACAGAACCCAGAAGCACCAAACTAAGGTCTTAAAAATATGGTTGCTTTCTCCCGCATCCTCCATTTGGAGGAAACAGCATTCGTTGTAAAACAAAGTAAAGCATTCTTGGAAGCTAAAGAGTATAATAACAAAATAATTCCTCCACTTCAAAACAATCGCTGGTAATATTTCTGGGGGTATTTTCTTCTAGTACATGCTAACACCTATTTTTAATAATTTCATATCTTCTTTTAAAAAACACTTGACCAGGGGCGCCTGGGTGGCTCAGTCGGTGAAGCGTCCGACTTCGGCTCAGGTCATGATCTCATGATTCATGAGTTAGAGCCCAGCATTGGGCTCTGTGCTGACAGCTCAGAGCCTGGAGCCTGCTTCGGATTCTGTGTCTCCATCTCTTTCTGCCCCTGCCCCACTCATGCTCTGTCTCTCTCTCAAAAGTAAATAAACACTTTTAAAAATTAATAAAATAAAAAAATCTTTAAGAAAATAAATAACTAAAAACACTTTACCTTCAGCAGCTGTCTGCGAAATTACTAATTCTTTGTGGGCCTGTAGGCAAATGTAAAAGGCTGCGGTAACGCGTGATTTCATCAGGACCTGTTGCCGGGACATGTGCAGCAGCCCGGGAGCCGCCTCGGACACCCCGCGGCACACACCCGTGTGCCCCCACGGACTGGGTCTTTGCAACTGATTTCGGGAAGGGAGAACAGAGGCCAGGGGCTGTGAGCATTTCCAGACTTCGAAGTCTGATGCTGGCCTGCCTTTCCTTTCTGTCTTATTTCACACCCTCACCAGCAGAAAGGGGATGCTGTGAAGGGGGGATATGAAGTTCTAAGAGACTCAAAATACCGCCGCACAAGAGTCCTACTTGTCAACTAGGAAGAGTGGAGAAACTGACAGACTCCACCCTGCTCAGGCCATCGGAGGGAACCAGGGCGGAAGCCAGAGGGGTGGGCCATTTCTGGCCAGTGCAACCCCAGCATGTCACCCCAGTGGTCCGCCAGGACCCTTCACCCACACCTGTCCTGTGGAGGTGTCAGGAAAGCCCCGAGTCCACAACATCTTTATACTATTCTTTCAACTTTTCAACCGGTCAAAATAGTTTGAAAACGAGTGAGAAGAATAAAGAAAGATTATCCACTCCTGGGCCCAGCCGGGAGGAGGAAGCAGGCAGTCCGTTCTCAGCTGGGCTTCTGGAGAGGGGAGCCCGTGGGAGGGGGGCACCCAAGATAGGGAGAGGTCATGTGGGTAGTGGTCACACGGGTGGTGGATGGGAGGAGAAGGGACCGGGCTTGTGCAGGTTTGGTTTGGAGTCGTGCACTCTTGTCCCACGCCTAATCACAACTTTCTTTTACATCCTTTGATTCCGACACAGCGGTTCCAGAAGAGACCGCCCAAGGGCCTCTCTGTGTCAGGCGGCAGGGGAGGTGGGGGGGAGGTGGCAGGGGGAGGAGGTCGGGGGACATGGTGCCCTGGGCACGTGGCTCGCCTCCCTCACCAGGCCATCCCCGCCCCCCCCCCACCCCCGCCAGAAAAGGCATAAGTTTAGAAATTGCACACAGCTCCGGACAAGAAGGGGGGAGCCTGGCAGACAGGGAGTGTTGGAACTGGGGAGGCAGCGGGTCTGGGGTTAAGTGGGGAAGTGCGGCCCAATGGGCTGGGCTGTGGGAGGAGGGTGTGCAGGAAGTGATGGCTCTGGGTGCAGCAGTGGTGCTGCACAGCTAACCCCCTCCTCACATCCTCATGCCTGTCTCTCTCACTCCCTGCATCTGCCCAGCAGCCCCGGGCAGAGGCATCTCCCTAAATTCAGAAGAGTGAGGACTGAGCCAGAGTCGGAGTCTTTATGTCCCCAAACTGGCCGGTAGCACGCCTGGGCTGCATGTCCCGTGTCCCCATCGAAAAGATTAATTACGATAGTTAGCAAGCACTGAGCACTTAACCGTGGGCCAGACCAAGGACTATACCTGACTTGATTTTCATAGCAATCCTATGAGTTGGGAATTCTTGTTACTCCCACTGAGGAAACTGAGGCACGGAGAGGGAAGCGGCTCACCCGAGGCCACAGAGCTAGAAGTAGCTATGTGGGGACGGGCTTCCAAAAACAGAAATTGCATTTGCAGTCTTGCAAGTAGGGAATGTTTCCGAACGGCTAATGGTTAATGTATTAATGTGAAGATGAGCCCACGATCAAGGATGGCAGTCATTTGGAGCAGATCATTCCAGAAAGGCAAAGTCGGTTTGACATTTAGAAACCAATCAATGTAGTAACCCCAATAACAGAATGGGGGAGAAAATTATATGATCTTTTCAAGAAATGCAGTAAAAGTATTTGATACAGTTCGAAACTGATTTTTAATGAGAGTCTTAGCAACATAGGAATAGAAGGAGACTTCCCTGGTCTGATAAGAGGAAGTGTGGTGAGCTGAGTAATGGCCCCCCAAAGATGTCCATGGCCTACACCCCAGACCTGTGACTAGGCTCCCTTATATGGTAAAGGGGACTTTGCGGATGGGATGAAGCTAAGGACCTTGAGATGCGAGATGGTCCTGGATTTGCAGATGGGTCTGATGCAATCACGAGGGTCCTTCTAACAGGAGGCAGGAAGGCCAGCAGCATGAGGAGGAGGTGTGACAATGAAGCAGAGGTTGGAGTGATGTCACAGAGACCGGAGGACGCTGTGCTGCTGGAGTTGGAAATGGAGGAAGGAGCCAGGAGCCAAGGACGCAGGCGCCTCTAAGCTGGAAAAGGCAAGGAAGCAGATTCTCCCCTGGAGCCTCTGGAAGGAACGCAGCCCCATGGACACTTTGATTCTAGTTTTCTAAGTTTCATTTTGGACTCTGACCTCCAGAATTGTAAGATAATTTATCTGTATTGCTCTAAGCCACTGAGTTTGTGGTAATTTGCTGTAGCAGCAACACGAAATGAGTACAGGAATCTACAAGAAACCTCTAGGCAAAATATTGTGTGCTTCCCCTGCCCCCCATGATCAGGAACAAGGCATGGATGCCCGTCTTTGCACTTCTACTCAGGGTTGTAGTTAAGCAAGAAAAAGAAATAAAAAGTATAAGCTTGGAAAGGAAGGACAAATAATGTCATCTCAAGGTGATGTGATTGTAGAGGAGAAAATCCAAAGAATCTGCAAACAAAATGGTTACAACTAGATTAGAGATGATTTATAGGTCTGATTGTAAAGTGAAAACAAAACTTGTATAAAATGCAGTATCTTCATGGCCTTGGGGGTCAGCAGAGAGCTTTAAAACAGTTCATAAAACATAAAACGATAAGAAAATGATTGGGAAAGTGAACTCCACTAAAATTAGGAACTTTTGTTCATTAAACATGCACCACTAAGAAGGGAAAAACCAATCTGCCAAGTGAGAGAAGGTATTTGCATATTTAGAACTGGTGAATGACTTGTTTCCAGAATATGTAAAGAGTTCCTAGAAATCATTAAAATGAAAAGACAACCCAGCAGAAAAGTGGGCAGAGTCAGGAACAGGCACTTCACAACAGAGTCATCAGTGAACATATGAAAAGGTAATCACTCTCATGGATCACAGGAAATATGAGATACTAATCCATATCCAAAGGGCCAGGTAATAGCAAAAGTATTGACAACGTGCCAGGTGTTGGAAAGGATGTGGAGCGTCTGGATTGCTCACACCTGTTACTGGTGGGACTGTGAATTGGTACAAGTGTTCTGGAAAACTGCTCAGCACTATCTACTAAGGTTAAACATCCTGCCAGCAATTCCACTCCTTCCTCATTTCCAGGAGAAATTAGCGTTTATGTCCTCTAAATGGCATGCACAGCAATGTTCACTGCAATATTGCTCAGAATATCAAAAACCCAGAAACAACCCAAATGTTCATCCATCCCGGAAAGAATGATATACTGTCGGCATATGCACACAACAGAATGCACACAGCAACAACCAAGAAGGGACTCTTGTGACTGGCATTTCACAGGTGTGATGTTGCGTGAAAGAAGCCAGGACCGAAAGAGCACGGAGTGTGACTGCACTTATATGAGGTTCAAGAATGGATAGAATGATTCTGGGGTGACAGCAGAGCCCTGCTGTCTCTGGGGGAAAGGGAACTTCCGGGAAGATGCAAATGTTCTAGATGGCGAATGAGATGGAAGCTACAAATGTGTATACATTTACTGAAATTTGTCAAACTGTATACCTATGATTTGTGCATTTCACCTAATTATACCTTAGCGAAGGGACCAAACCAATCACACCAAACCCGGATGCCTTACCCTTAATGTGGTGATCAGTTCAGGCACAGGGATCCATGATTAGAAGAAGCTGTTGGGTGAATGGTTGATGGGAATGTGGCAGAGGGCCAGGCGGTCACCACCAGACCCCACCGAGCGTGGCAATGCCACGAGTGGGGGGCAGCTAGACACACGGGCTTCTTGTGAGAGGTGGTAGGAAGCATTCTTGTGGACAAAATGGAACATCTTATCAAGCACGTAAGGTTAAAATGTACAATTAAAAGAAAGATGAGGAACAGAGAAACAGTTTCTAGAACAATGACCTGGTAGCAAACAATTACATACAGAACAGGGGTCGTTCTACAGGTAATTAACGCCATTTCTCAGTAAGTCAACACGTAGAAAATGAAAGGACGTGGGGGAGGGGCTCTGCTAGATTGTAAAGAGAGAGAAGATGATCAGATCTCATTTGAATCAATTAGAACGAATCTTCTATAGGAAGACATATCTGAGATAATTGGGTAACTTCACTGTGGTCTTGCAAAGAAAAGCCCTATTTTTGAAAAATGTATGTTGTGGGATGTAATGATGCAAGGACATGCCTGGATTTGACTTTTTTTTTAATGTTTATTTATTTTTGAGAGAATGATAGAGTGTGAGTGGAGGAGGGGCAGAGAGAGAGGGAGACACACAATCTGAAGCAAGCTCCAGGCTCTGAGCTGTCAGCACAGAGCCCGACATGAGGCTTGAACTCACGAACTGGGAGATCATGACCTGAGCCGAAGTCAGACGCCTAACTGAGCCACCCAGGTGCCCTGCCTGGATTTAAATTTAAAGTATGCTTGCCAAGTATGGAAACAACCCAGTTGTCCATGGATAAATGAATGGATAAAGAAGATGTGATACACACACACACACACACACACACACACGTGCACACACAGGAATATTAGCCATAAAAATGAATGAAATCTTGTCATTTGCGACAACGTGGATGGAGCTAGAGAGTATTATGCTAAGCAATGTTAAGTCTCTCAAGGAAAGACAAATACAATGTGATTTCACTTGTGGAATTTACAACATAAAACAAATGAACAAAGGCAGAAAAAGAGACAAACCAAGAAACAGACACTTCACCATAGAGAACCAAACTGATGGTCACCAGAGGGAGGGAGGGGCGTGGGGTGATGGGAGAAACAGGTGTTGGGGAATAAAGCATACAGCTATCATGGTGAATACTGAGTAATGTTCAATCACTATATTGTCCACCTGAAACTATTCTAGTTGTAGGTTAACTATATTGGAATTAAAACTTTAAAAATTAAAATTAAAAAATGTTCTGGCAAAGACAAAAAACAAAAAAAGAGAAGGATAGATGAAACAAATGTGGCTAAATCTTCTGTACTGGTGATGGGCACCTGAGTTCACAGGACCTTAGTCTCTATTCCTGGACAGGTTTGGGTTTTCAGAATCAAAAGAAAGAGGAAACCAGGTAGGTGGGGGGGCAGGCAGGGGAATGAGAGGTGGGAGCTCAGCCTGTGAGAGGTAGGCTCAGGGAGTGTGCTCCCATCTGCCCCCTTCTGTGGAAGGATCAGACTGGCCTTGGAACCTGGGGGGTGGCACAGGAGGCCAGGGGGATGGAACAGCACTGCAGAGGCTCAGAGGAAGCAGTACAAGCAGCCAGCTGCCTACCCTTCTTCCTCTTAACAAGGGGAAGTTGCCTAGTTGAAAAGTTACATGGCTCAGCCTCCCTTTCAGATACTGATGGCCACAGGACAAATTTTAGACAATGGAACGTAGGCAGAAATTGCTGTGTGGGTCCTCTGGGAAGGGTATTTTTCCAAGGAGGACTGAGCTGGCTGGGAGGCTGTTTTGCTCCTCCCTTGACCCTTTCCCCATGTCTGAAATCAGATGTGATGGCTGAGGCTGCAGCAGCTATTTTGTGACCACATGATAACTTTGCAGTTGAAACCCTAAGGCTAAAATTGGCTTGAAGGCAGAAAGACTTGGGATCTGGTCACCAGGACAGTTTCTTAGAACTGCTGTTTGTGGGGCCTCCTGGAGCTCTGGACTGCCTCCCACATTTCCCTTTACTGGAGGAAAAATAAATCCTACTTTGTTTACATTACTATTATTTTGGGTCTCGGTAACCCATTGGAAGCAGAAGACTTTCCTTTTGCCACCGGTGTTGAAGACAGGCCTACAGAGGGAGATGTCTGACTCTCACCCACGCAGACTTCAGCTCCCAGCTTGAGGGCTCCCTTTACCTGTGTTCCTGCGTTTTTCCTTTTTTTCTTCAATGACTGAAGTAGAACTATTGTCCGTGGACTCCAAGATGTTCTCTGCGGGGAGACGAAAGCAAAGGCCACAGCAAATGACTCATTGGCTCTTGAAGCCGTGAACACAGCAGGAGGCTGGGAGAGACTCCAGTGCCCTTGCCTGCCTGCTGAGCCCCCCCCCCCCCCCGACAAGTCACCCAGCTTCCCTGAGCCTCAGTTTCCACATCTGAGAGGATTGTATGGACTTTGCTGGCAAGCTGTGATAACTGTGCACAAAAATGGCCCGTGTGCACACGTGCCTGACACACACAACACGTTTTGCGCTTTTCTCTTCAGCATCCTTCCATTTGCCCCACGAGAGGCGCGCAGGGCCCGTTTATGGGGAGGTCACAGACCCAAGCCCTCTGCTTCAGGGCCCTGCCTGCGCCTTTACCGTGAGCCTCCCAGGGCTTCCCTCGGGACTGCAGCGGAAGATTGGGGAAGCCCATATCCTTGATGCCTTCCCTTCAACTGACACCCACAGGGATGGAGGCATTTGGCCTGGTAGGTTCTCCTACCCCAACTCAGAAATCATCTGTAGCTTGGAGATTCCAGTCTATGCCAGCTTGGGAGGGCAGCCAGCTGCTGGCAGATGGGGAGGGGGCTGCCAGAGAGCCTGGGGATGTGCTCAGGTGGGCAGCCAGTCATTTTGGACCAGCTTGGGGGAGGAGACTTGGGATGACGCCGGGAAGGCAGGGCTTGTGAGGTGAGGGACATATACCAAGGGCAGACCCTGAGCAGCTGGGTGATGGGCTGTGGAAAGAGTGAGGAAGAGAGCTGTCCTGTGGCCCTGGCAGGCGGGTCAAGGGTGTGGGGCTGACAACTCAGATGCCTGCAGGTCAAACTGCATATATAACGGTGAGCAGAGGGGAGGCAATAGGGAGCGGTGAGGTGTGTGGAGAATTCAGGAGCACAGACTGCTGGGTGCATATTCTCCATCTGGCTGACTGCATGGTTCAATTGCCAGGTAGCAACATTTAGTTAACTAGATCACAAAAGTCAACGGATACTGCTATTATTTAAATAGATTAAAACCCAAGCCAAACAAACCAAAACTCTAATGAAATTCAACTTTTGTCTTAATTAAAAGAGCAATGCACAGGCATGGCAAAAAGGGTTAACGATGTGGTTTGCTGTGTTACGATGACCACTGAAATGACATGTTGATACGACGAAAAATCCTCACCCGGAGCCCTCCCTACCAAATGGATCTTTGTTTCTCTAACCAGAGGTATTTTTGCATACGCGTGCTTAGATGTCCCCTTACTTTTTCACTGCAAAATCATCTTTCATGCTACACCATGGATGAACCTTGAGGACACTGTGCTGAGTGACAGAAGCCAGTCACACAAGGACAAACACTGTATGAGCCAACTTACATGAGGTCCCCAGAGCAGTCAGACTCCTAGGGACAGAAACCAGGATGGTGGGTGTCAGCCACTGGGGGAGGGGATGGGGTGGGGAGTTAGTGTTCAATGGAGACAGAATTTCAGTTTTACAAGATGAAAAAGTTCTGGGTTTGGATGGTGGTGGCGGTTACCCACCAGTGCGAAGGTACTTACAATGCCACTGGTCTGTATACTTAAAAATGCTCAAAGGAGTAAATTTTGTTATGGATCATTTCCCATCATTTTTTAAAAGTTAGAAAAAAAAGAATAGAGGAACGGTTCAGTCGGTCGAGTGTCTGACTCTTGATTTTGGCTCAGGTCATGATCCCAGGGTCATGAGATCGAGCCCTGCATCGGGCTCTGTGCTGAGTGTAGAGCCTACTTGGGATTCTCTCTCTCTCTCTTTCTCTCTCTCTCTCTGCCCTTCTTCCCTTCTTGCATTCTCTCTCTCTCTCTCTCTCTCTCAGAAACAGTATATCTGCCCATGCACAAATCTCCTTGCTCCATAGTCAGGTCCCCTTAGTCAGGTGCCCCTTAGGACCCTGAGGCTATTTCTAATCTCATGCAATTTCCAAACTTGCACAATCCTTGCTCTCTATCACCAGCTTGAGCTGGACTGTTTCCCACACACCTGGAATTTGTCAGTCTGAGAGGCAATAAACTCATCTTGATTTTAATTTGCACTTTGCACTTCTTGATCTCAGAAAAGATCGTGTATCTTTTCAGATGCTGATTATCCTGGCTTCTCTCTGTTAGTATCCTTTGCTCATTTTTAAATTGGGATGTGGTAGTTTTTAAATGATCTTGAGCACTTCTACCTATTAGAGGACACTAGCTCCTTTGTTCGTCGGAGCTGCTGACAGTATGTTTGCTCCCGCTGATACGACTATTACCTTTGGACTGTCTCTCATGCATTTGCCTTACAGGACATTTTAATGTTTACTCAGTGCAATGCTTTGGCATTTTGTATCTTGCTTAGAGAGGCATTCTGCATCTGAAGGTTAAGTACATGTAAAAAGTTCCTGTTTTCTTCTAGTACTTTAACAGGATGCTTTTTTTTTTT